ACCCTTAATATGCATTCCACAACTGTAATACGGAAGCTATCTGATTCCGCATATACACTAGTCGAAAATAGTTTAGTCGCTCTTTACCTCCTCTAATACGAACCTATACACTCGTTCACATATTCCGCACTCTCCCTCTCGTAATCGCGCACTCTGTCAGTTTGGTGGTGCTGTCGACATAGCTGAGGAGACTGCGCTCTCTCAGTAGCGCTTGCATGCGTTGCTTCCATGCATACCAGTTGTCGGCGTTGAGGAGCTCGATTCGTAGTAGCGAGGAGGGTGCATCTTTGATGTCTGCCGGTTTTAGAAGCGACATTGTTGGACCGTGTACCGTGTCTGCGAGTTGGACCGTTTACGAGTTGGCATGAGTGTGTGAGTTACCGAGTTGGACCGTTACGATAGTTCGACCAAGCGAGTTCAACCACGAGGATTTGACCGCGAGTAGGCTCGACCACGAGGGAGGTTCCACTAGGCTATCTTGCTGTTGCCGATGCTGACACCCCTGCGTCGTCCACAATGGACAGCACAAACAGGGCAGTAATGGGAGAAAATCAGTGTTGCTGAGGCTGGCACCCCTGCGTCATCCACAATGGACAGCAACAGACAGGGCAGATTTAAGAGAGAAGGCAGGGGAGGATCTTGTCCGCGGAGCGGGGCTCACAACCTATTGTGATGGTAGGGGAACAAGATGCATTGAGGCAGGTACAGAATTTGCGCAGAGCGCGTCCCTAGGCGCTTACCTAAGCGTCAACAGACGGCTTGCGCGTCGCGACGTGTCAGAGCGCGTCGCTCCTCTCCAACAAGCAGCGCTAGGCGTGCCGGCTGAGGAGGAGCCTGAGGGTCCCAACTACACTGCGGTACAAGCGTGCTGGCCATCACCGATCCTGCCTTGTGCATGGAGAGGTCAACCTGCCTGACCATGATATGTCTCATTACGCTCCATCTTCGATATCCGTGTGAATGGTGAGGACCACGAATGATGGACAACAAGCGGAGGGAGAGGTCCTCGCCTGCAGCGCCTGAAACAGACGCAAGGCCAGATCTTGTGAGGGGTTACTGGTCAACGATCGTTCATGTCTGTGATGGGGATTGGGCGCAACGGTTAGGACGAGAGTGCACACTACACTCCTGTACGAGGACTGCCAATGATGACTTCCGTGCAATGCGCTCAGAGACACCTATTCACATGCCAGTGCTGAAGCACTCACTGTTCAGCTTCCGTTGTCAGATGCTCTTTCAATTCAAGTTGTCCGTGTCGGGCGGCTTCCCCTCTGGTTGCAATCGCGTTCCTTCATGTGCACACTTATGATTCTTCTCGATCCTTTCAATGGCATTGTTGTAACCGATTATCTCTCGCGAGTGGGTGGCAAGGGCCACCCCCTGCAATTCCGAAGTACCTTCTTCTTTCATGGACGCGCAGCCTCGATAGCCAGCAAGCGCTCGTCTTGGTCCCTGGGTCCCTGTGCCGGGAACGCATCTTCTTGCGCTGCAGTGTCGTTCATATCCCGTTATCATGCTGGACGTCCAGGCTACATAACTTGATAACTTCAGCGGTCACTCTTTATCTGATTCCCTCTTGGTGGTCAAGCGAGACCGGTTGGCCACTCACTCTCCCCCTCCCCCGATCGGCGCCAGTAGGATGAGCGCCAATTCATCCAGTCCCAATGGTCTGGGAGAGCGTCTGAATCTGTCTCTCAGTCGATGGAAGGCAAAGGCGGGTGAGATGCTGGATCCAATGAAGGAGTTGGTGGAACGAACAGCATGCCTTGTTATCGGAATCTCAGAGGTTAGCACTGTTGTTCTTCAGTTGATATACACTCTTATGCGCCTCCTTCCAGGAGATCGAGACGCGGCAGCAAGACTGTGATGAGCTAGCTACGAAACTAGCCTGGGTCATGGAGCAAGTGCTTCAGAAACTAGCGCCCGAGTCGGGAGGTGACAGGGCGAGCGAGGCGACGGCCCATACAGTACTGGAGGCACTCACGACGTGCGTCTTTCCTCCTAGCAGCTCTCAACAAAGACCTTATACCGTCTGTACAGCAAAGCGTCCGATATTGATATCTTCTTACGAAGCCGTCCGTCCAAGGCACATGAGCTCGTGAGCACGAGGAGGGCAGAGACGATTGCGAAGTTTGTGAAGGATCTGGACGAGATGCGACTGAAATTTGTCGTAGGTGGTTTGGCAGTACTTTGATTCTGATAATACTCAGGTCTTGACAGGAGGTCCGCATCACAGATGTGAGCCAGCAAGTTGCGGGCTTGCATGCACCATCGATGTAAGAGCAAGCTGTAACCTGTGCAAATACGCGCTGACATGTCGTCCAATAGGGCAGCAAGGCACCCCGAGATACCAAGGAAGCCGGCTGTCTTCTTCGGCAGAGACGAATTGGTGGCGACCATCGTGAAGCTACTGCTTTGCGATCGGGCGTGCCGAATTCCTCTGCTCGGTACAGGGGGCATCGGCAAGACGTCCGTCGCCGTGACGGCCATCAATGACGACACGGTCCGTGCAAAGTACGGACGTGACAATCTTTTCTTCAACTGTGAAAGCACGCCAACTGCGGAAGGCATCATTCAAGAGCTGGCCTTGTCCTTGGGCTTACAACATGATTCGAATGCTCGGTCGCATCTCTTCCGCTATTTACGGTCCCGAACCTGCTTCCTGCTCGTCCTTGACAATCTCGAAACCGCAGTGTACTCGGAGGACGGAGCGCGCGTCCATCAGCTGCTCGCCGAGTTCGCACGCTTCCCGGGACTATCCCTCATGATCACTATGCGAGGAGACTTGCCTCCGGTTGGTGTGGAATGGGAGGATTTAGACGCCTTGCATACGCTGTCTCTGGACGCCGCACACCAAATCTGGACCGAAATAGCTCGGAAGACGGACAAGAAGCTTCATGCGTTGCTGGGCCGGCTCGATGGACTTCCGCTCGCCATCCGACTGATGGCGCACCAAGGCAAGTACTTTACGCCGACACAGCTTCTGATTTCATATGAGAAGTCGGCTGCGAAGCTGCTGAAGGTTGCAGCCGGCGGTCGACTCGGGAGTCTTGAAGTGTCCATTGAACTGTCGCTCGGATCGAAGATACTGTTGGAAGAACCCTGTGCGCTCGAGCTTCTCACCCTGATGTGTCTACTACCTGATGGTGCGACTATCGAGGCGCTACAAGAAATGTTGCCATCCATGAACGACGACGTCCTTCCAGCAGCATCGGCGCTGCAACAAGTCGCACTCGCGTTCGACCGTAACGGACGACTGAAAGTATTAGCACCGATTCGGGATGTCATTCTTGTGCGGAGACCTCCCCATGGTCGATCACTGGACGAACTGCGAGACTTCTTCATGGGGCTCTGTTCCCGAGCCCATAACATTGGAAGAAGCAACGGAAAGGAGAGCGTCCAACTTCTCTCGGTCGAATTCGGTAACATCAATTCCATACTGGTCCACTTCTGGAAAGCTCCTCCTGATGGTTACAACATCCCTCATCTGTTTGGAGCAACGACAAAGATTGCATACTTCTCAAACATGTGTAGTTGCGGTGATCCGACAGCATTACTTGCAGAGGCACAGAGAAGACTGGACATGATGCAATACCGTCCTGAGGCTGCTGAATGTAGGGGCCGCCTAGGCTATGTCCTCCAATCGCAGTGTCGATATGCGGAAGCGATCACAATGCTGGAGGAGGCCAAGTTGGCGTTCGAGGCTATCGGCGAGCCGCTTGGTGCGGCACAATGCACGGAACGCCTGGGCGACGTCCTCCGTATGCAATCCCGATACACGGAAGCGGTGCCAAGGTTGGAGGAGGCCAAGGTGGCGTTCGAGGCAATCGGCGAGCGGCTTGGGGCGGCGCAATGCACCCAAAGCCTGGGCAACATCCTGCGTATGCA